CACCCCACCGGTAGAAACAGTCCACACCACAAGGCACAGAACTGAAACAAAAACCGGTGCCAGAGGCACTCGACCAGCCAGTAATCCCATCAGCCAAGAACTGCCAGTTGGATCGCTGGCGTGGAGGGTCTGGGGCTCCCCCTTCCCCCTCCCGGGGAGGGGGGGTTGCGCAGACGGTGGCGCAGCGACGTGATGACGTCATGCTAGTTAGATAATTTTGTTTGGGGAGTTCTGTCCACTCGTTCGGCTTTCGGTAACAATATTTTTACCAGAATAGGAGTTTGTTTTGGGGTGCCTACCTTTCTGGGTGCCTATCCCATTCGATGGCAGACATAGAATGCTCCCAACCACAAGGGGGTTTCTATAGGCCATTGATCCTTGTGCCTCTCTGAGGGGGCCAGGTTCTGGCTCGTGGTCCCCGGTAGGCAAGAACTCCTAGCACTTTGATGCCAGAAAGTTATACATATACATTCAGCCTGGATAGCTCCAGGGAGCCGACAGGGCTCCCCCCAGAAAAGAAGTGGTATTTATAGTGTTGTGAGGCATGGGGAGGCTGCCAGCTCAGACAAACCAGCGGCTGAAAGATTTATTGACGAATTTAAAGATTTTGTATAGGCTGAGGGATACCTACCACAACAAGTGTTTAATTATGATGAGACAGGGCTGTTCTGGAAAAAGATTGCCTAAGAGGACATACATTACCAAGGAGGAGAAATCATTGCCCAGACACAAGCCTATGAAAAATAGGTTTACGCTTGTGCTGTGTGGAAATGCGAGTGGCAATTTGAAAATTAAACCTTTGCTTGTGTATCATTTTGAAAATCCAAGGGTTTTCAAAAAATATAGTGTGCAGAAAAATCAAATGTGTGTGATGTGGAGGGCTAATAAAAGGGCATGGGTGACTAGGATTTTTTTACGGAGTGGGTGAATGATGTGGTGTGCCCTGCCATACAAAAATATCTGCAGGAGAAAAGTTTGCCACTCAAGGGCCTGCTTCTCCTCGACAATGCTCCTGCTCATCCTCCAGGCTTGCAAGATGCATTGTTGAACAAATTTAATTTTTTCACAATACAGTTCCTTCCTCCTATTACCACTCATCTAATTCAGCCTATGGATCAGAAAATCATAGCGAATTTTAGCCCTCAAACCGCGCATATCATATATAAATGATATCAGTGACAAAACCGAAACCGCGCACATCATTTATGTATGATTTCGTGTCTAGCGCTATAATTTAAACGCCCCGCCTGGGATAGGGGCAGCTATAGTACAGCCACGACCGATAGTTGCCAGATGCCACCTAGAAAAAAAATCCAGGCCAACATTCTTGGGTGTTACAGCGTCAGTATTGAGCAAGCCACCAAGGCTGGCGCACGCAGCACGAGCTCACAGCACCGCTGTTCAGCTTGTGACCACAGCATCGCCTACAAATACAATAATATTAATGATACTGCTATTATTTAGCAGTGATAGTATTACTGAAGCCCCCTGACTGTGATAAAACTGACCAGGATTCTGATAATAGCAGGATTGTGGTGATATTTAGCGCTGTGCTCCACGGAGGGAGGAGGAGTAAGGCTGTGGAGGGAGGGTTGTGGTGTCGTCTTCTGACTGTGTGTGGCCACCATTTATTGACTGCACTCACCATACCAGCTTAGTGGTTCGCTATGGTGAACACAGATGTAGATACTTATATATAACGTGTGTATAGTGTGAGATAACACCGAGAGGAGTAGGTTGGGAGCCGCCATTTTGGTGAGGGAGGAGCGTCGTCTGCACGACTTGGCATGGTGTTTACTGATGGCCACTATGGTCTTTGGGCACCATACCAGCTTATTTGTTCAGGTATGGTGAATAAAACAGGTAGATACTTATATATAATGTGTGTATATAGCGTAATAACACCACAAACAATATTGTTGGAGGACAAATATTAGTGCGTCTGGCCTTGAGGGCGGCCGCCGATCAGCTGACTGTGTGAGTAGCTACGTCTTATGGCCTTCACTCACCATACAAGCTTAAATGTACAGTTATGGTGAACAAAACATGTAAATACGTATATATAACGTCTGTGTATAGTGAATAAATACAGAAACAGTATTGTGGGAGGTGAATGAGGGGTGAATGAGGTGGTGTTGAGGGAGGGGTTGAGGGAGGGAGTGGCAGTGAGTGGCTCGCTGGTGTTTGGTGTTTCACTCCTCGTTGCTTTTTGACTCACAAGACCAACTTAGTAGTTCGTTATGGTGTACAAAACATGCAAATACTTATATATAACCTGTGTATATAGTGTAACAACAGCAAAACTATTTGTTTATTGTTTTATGAACATAATAATTGAATCACTAATATGCACACCATAATTTTGAGTACAGCGATGGTTCACACATTTTATAATATAAATATACCACAATTCACTGTATGGAATAATATTACTGCAAAAAAACTAAGAAAAAAACAGAGACATTAAAATAACTAGGTAATAATATATTTGTGGCAACTGCCGTCTGACAGCTCAGGCGGAGTAGACCTCGTCTGGCGAAGGCTCTGCCAACGCCCCTTTTTTGCCACACTTCCCTACCCTATTGCGGCTAAAATATGCCACCTACGATTTTTTTGTTATTTTTTCCGTGATCAGGGAACAAAAATGAACACTTCTATAAGACGAAAGAATTTTTTGGAATTTTTTTTTTTGTTGCGCCTGTGGGTGTGAATTCCATTTGGGCCCCTAGCGGTTTGAGAGTTAAGAAAACTTTATGAAAGGTCACTTTTCCAGAAATGTTTTGAAGTGACTGATGCCACAAAACTCACCCTCAAAGAGTTCTAGAAAAACCATTTTTAACATTTGTAGTGCTTTAAAACTCGTTGACAAAGCCTGGCAAGAAGTGACTCAAAGAACCCTGATCTCTGGCTGGAGAAAATGGTGGCATGAATGTGCGCAAGAACTAGACTTTGAGGGGTGTGAGCCTGTAAATGAAGTGCCTATTTTGAGGAAATTGTTACTCTGGGCCAGAAAATGGGCTTGGAAATAGATATATTATTATTAACATGTTTATTGACAAAATTAATTACAATTTTGCCTAATCTGAGGATTTCAATTAAGTCCTATTAAAGTGAGGATAATGCTGGTATTCACTGTCACGCAGGACAGAGGGTCATACACAAGACAATAGGTCTAAACTGGCACATATATATATCATGGTTACAATCAATGTTTTAATGTATGAATATGTGAAAACAACTTTCTATTGTGCACTGCCACAAAAGGGCAGGGATGGGTTCATAAGTGATGCAGCTTTGAAGTAATTTAAATAAAATTGTTCTTCATTCTTTAAAATGGATAAGCAAATTTTGGATAAATTGTTAGGATGTTGTCCAGAACACCTGAGTCAATGAAATAGTTACACAGTTGGTGGTACAAGAGGCCAGGAGGTCTAAAATCTTTTACGGTTTCACATTCAACAATAGAGTGTTCTAGTGAATGCATTAGAGGTTTATCACAGAGTTTACAATCTGAATATTCTGGTAGTGGCTCAGCTTCACTAACTTGCCAGATGTGTCTATAGTCAAGGTGAATTCGTGCAATGACTACATCACATTGCCTGGTCCTATTACTGTGCTGACCATACAAATACCTGTTATTACAAAACTTGTCATAGCTTTTAATACTGCAGCTTTCGGGTCTCTGGGCATTTCTTAGTTCTTCTAAATCTGAATTACTCTCTTTAATTTGAATGTTTCTAATAATTGCATTAGATAGTCCAAAGTCATAATCAGTGTTTTCTTTCCTGCAAGCCTCATTGGCCAATCGATCTACAAAGTCATGTTTTCCAACTCCAACATGGGATGGGATCCACACAAATTTTATACAATAGTTATTATCATTGGCAAAAATTACATTCCATTTAATATTACAAGCTACTTCACACATACATTGTGATGGGTTATTTAAGGACTGCAGAGCACTTTTAGAGTCACAGAATATTATTCCACCACCATTGAGCTTAAGGTATTCAGTGGCTAGATAAATACCCAATAGCTCAGTCTGTGTCGTGCTTGCCCAGTTGTTCAATCTCCGTGTACTAGACATGCTCATTTTATTCCCTTTATACACTGCACATGCACAACCTGTAGATGGTGCTGATGTGGAGGAGTTGGTGGACGAAAACAACGAAGAACTGACCACCGAAGAACTCCAAGCCCTTCAAAAGGAGCAGCAACAAGAGGCAGCTGAGGATATTTCTTCAGAGGAGGAGGAGGAGGCAGTAGAAAATGTCCCTTCCTCAACAATTAGGAAGTGGTGTAAGATGTGGGAAGAAATGCAAACTTTTATTGAAACGACTCACCCAGAGAAAGCTGTAGTAGGCTGTTGCAATAACATTTTCAATGACAATGTGATGCCCCGCTGCAGACAAGTGTTGCAAAGAAGGGAAAAACAATTTTCAATGGAACGTTTCCTTGTGAGAAAATCAAGCAGTGAGCCACAACCAGGACCTAGTGGTATGCAGGCAAAACGTGCCAGAGAGTGCACTCCAGCAAATCTTCACTCCCTGATGTTATAATGGAAGGGGACTCCCCTTCCAAACAGTAACACCACTCCTTCTCCCCCCTCCTAACCATCTTCCATACGCCAACAGGAGTCATCAGCAAGGGTAAATAATAACTTGATCATGCTTTTGTAGTGAAGATTTGGGTGAATTAGGTATAAAATTTACTTTGAAGTTAAGTTTTTGGGGAGTCAGGAACGGATTAATTCATTTCCCATTATTTCTTATGGAGAAATTCGCTTCGGTTTACGAATTTTCGGGTTACGAACCGTCTCCAGGAACAGATTAAATTCTTAAACCGAGGTACCCCTGTACAGCAAGATGTCTCAGGGGCTTGCTAAATCGTGCCGTATCTACCAAGAGGAACAGACAGTTTTTTATCCATTGAGCAGAAATTAGACATAATAGAGAAACACGAACATGCCTACTCTGTTACTAGGCTAGCAGCAGAAATTAATGTCGAAAAGTACAGTGTGTGATATAAAGAGACAGAAAGATAATATTAGAAAGTTCCTTGCTGTAAGTGATAGTGGTACATTAAATAAAAGAAAAACGATAAAAGGTTCTACAAATACAATATTAGACGAAGCTGTGTATAAATGGTTTAACCAAGAGCACTCTGTGGGTATGCCACTTGGTGGCGATGCCATTAAGACTGCCGCAGATAAATTGGCAGAAAAGATTAACATTCCAGATTTTCGAGCAAGTGAAGGATGGTTACAAAGGTTTAAGAATAACATAATATTAACCCTTAAACTGCACAAAACTGCATATAAAGTGTTGAGTGACTGACACGAAAGTGCACACCCCTTCATATGACGTTTTGGAGTACCGAGCAAGATTTAAACGGCTACATGGGGTTTACATCAGCTTCCTCGAGGCTTTTGTAAACAGATGCCATTTTTTTTTAAATCGTGGGCAACATTACCAGGTATGAAAGCCTCAGTACTGAGTGAGCCACCAAGGCTGGCGCATGCAGCATGAGCTCACAACACTGATGTTCAGCTTGTGACCACAGCATTACCTAAAAATGTAAAAAATATATGTAACTGGTACTATTTAGCGATGATAGTATTACAGAAGACCCCCTGACTGTGATAAAATTTACCAGGATTCTGATAATAGCAGGATTGTTGTTATAATTTGCGCTGTGCTGTAGGAGGAGTAATGTTGAGGGTGGGAAGGCTGTATCGTCATCTGCCATATCTGTGTGACCACCTGTTGCTGTCTTCACTTACTATATATATACTATACTATACATTTAGTGGTTCACTATGGCGAATAAAACATGCAGATACTTATATATAATGTCTGTATATAGAGAATAAAAGCAAAAACAGTATGGTGAGAGGAGAATTTGGCAAGTGAGGTGAGGTAGGGAGTGGCAGCCAATGACTGGCTGGCTCGCTGGTGTTGATGGAAATTTCCAACACTAATACACTACTATTGTATTATAATAAATCATTATTATTATATACTAAATACAGTAGTCACTAAATTTACTAACAGTAGTGTTAACATAAACTAACCATTATATCTGTGTATTAATGCTAGAATTCTTACGAAATAAAGCACCAATATTGCGTCAGATAATGTCTAGTTAAACACATTTATTACCAATGTGCTAGAGAATTGAATGTGGTTCTCTAAAATCATCAGTATTCCATGTGATAATTATTTACGGATAACATAACTCCCAATAATTCTAAATCGAGAGTTTTTAGTTACAATTGTTATCAAGTAATAGTTTTTCTGTCACGCGTGAATGCCATGGAGAAAACTAAAATCTTCTCCATTTTTCGTTTACCACCATAAGACGAGAAAGCGATAATATTTAAATCCCTAGAATCACAACCCAGTCCTTTATTAAAGTATTTCAACCACAATTGCGCGAAATAGTATTATTCGTGATTAATAATTTCTGTGGTGAATGCGAGACGCGGATTGGGAAGAAGGCGGAGACGCCATTGTAGAGCGTTTGTGCAGCGTGCGTGCTTAGACAGCGGAAGGTCTTGGCGTCAGAGTGGAGAGACACGTGACGTTGGGGAGTTATCAGCAAGAATTACACTGATACCCAACTAATAACGAATAATTATTCTTCCACGTGCTCCATAGTGCTCGGCCAATCAATAACGCGTCGAGAATCAAGCCAAAACCCTCAATCGCGTGTACAACACCGTGGAAGTCTGGGACTGATAGACGCGATATCGGCAGACTTCAGCAGTTACTGCGCTCATGCTAAGTATATTTTCTTTCTTGATGCATCATTAGAGATTGTATATTTCGTGGGTAGTCTGTCGTTATATAGTGGGACGACACCAAATCCATCGTTAGTACCACATTAATATTTATTTTCTGTTTTCATAAATATTGAAATCTAAGTAGCCTAGTTCAATGCTACGTAATATCCTTTAAATTACAGCTCGTATGTGAGGAGTCAACGAGTCGTTAACCGCATTCGTGTTATTCACCTCTAATGGCTTCTATGTGGAGATCCTGAGATCATGAGGACGAAGCACGAACGATGTCATAGAAATCGTCTTAAAGCTAAGACTTTTTGTACACATTTAATTATTCCATTTTATTATACAAATTCACAAGATTATCATATCGAATAATTTTACCATATGATTATTGGAAATTGATGTGTTTACTTGGATGATTGCTCTTTAATTTTAATAATCATTAATATTCTCTATTTGAATTTACCTATTGATTCTATAAAATTTTAGGTCATAATATTATTTACTTAACAATGAACTGGTGACAAACCACACTAGTTCCTAGACGTATATGAAGTTCTAGCAATACCCCCCCCAATGTAGGTGTTTGAGGCTTTGACTTTAGTTAATTAATCATACAGTCCATTATTTATTTAAGTGATTATTCTTTCTAATACTTATCCATAGACACTGGTTCCTCCTTGTGTTTTCTAATGATCACTTTTTATTAGTTTCCCTCTTTTCTCAAAAGTGGGTGGTCCTTCGTTATTAAATCAAATAATTAAATAATTGAGTCAAGCCCCAGATATCCCACAGGTGTGGAGGCTACTCTTCGCTGCATTTTGACTCAGCATACCAACTTAGTGGTTCATTATGGTGAACACATATGTAGATACTTATATATAACATGTATATACATATAGTGTAATATCAGCAAAAGATGTGTTGGGAGAAGCCATTTTGGTGAGGGAGGTGGCATCATCTGCATGACTTGTCATGCTGTATAGAGGGTGGCCACTATGCTCTTTGGGCATCATACCAGCTTAGTTGTACAGTTATGGTTAACAAAACATGTAGATATTTATATATAACTAGCAGTAACCGGCCACGTGTTGCTGTGGCTCAGCAACGAATGTGCATTGCTGAGCCACAGCAACCTTCCCTGACCCCCATTCCTCCCCATCATTCCCCCCCCTCAGCTGTCTCCTCGGCCTCCCAACCATTCCCCACTCCATCATTCCCTCTTCCTCCCGACCAATTCCCACTCCACCATCCCCTCTTCCTTCCCACCATACTCCCACCCCCTTGTCCCTTTGTCTTCCCCACCATTCTCCATTCCCCCATCCCCTCCATCCCAAACTCCACCGTCCCCTCGTCCTTCCCCACCATTACCACCTCCCTTGTCCCCTTGTCCTCCCCACCATCTCTCCCTTTCGTCCCCTCGTCATCCCCACCATTCCCCTCCCTCATCCGATGCCTTCCCAAATGGTCTGATGTTCCCTCCAGAAAATTGGGAACATCAAGTGATCTGATGTTTCCATCACTGAAATATAAGAAAAACAGTAAAAAAATGAAATGAAAATATGAAAAATAAAAACAAATAAACTATACTCACGAAATGAATGATATGGTAAACAACACAGCTCACTTCCAATGCAATTCACACAAAATAATTAAATCAAAATGAAAATATATCAAAATCTATGAAAATTCAATTTATCAATGGAATCGGAAAAACTGAAATGGAATTGTAACATATTTAGTTGCTCCTTAGTTGTTCTTGCTTGTTGCTCTTACATGCAACAGATGGCGCTGTTTTTCAAGAAAAGCATAGTTTTACCTGTCACAGATGTTGCATCTGTACTTATACTTATGAAATGAATGGTATGGTAAACAACACAGCCTAATTCCAACACAATGTCACACAAAATAATTAAAAAAAAATCAAATAAATCGAAATCTATGAAAATAAAATTTATTAATGCAATCGGAAACATTCAAATGGAATTTGTGACATATTTATTATATCGTGCACGTCTCTATTATGTGCAACAGATGGTGCTGATTTTCCAAAATGCATGTTTTTACCTGTCACAAGAGTGGCATCTATATAGTAGGTATATAAAAAGACGTGCCTATTCGAATGCAACGTTGTATCATAATTTAAAAGCATTCGGTGAAGAACTTTCCGATATTACAGCGTGTGTTGCTCTTACGTCCAACAGATGGTGCTGTTTAAAAAAAAAAATGTTTTTCCTTTCACAGGTGAGGCATGTATTTAGTAGATATATAAAAAGATGCGCCTATTTGAATGCAACGTTGTGTCAAAATTTCAAAGCAATTGGTAGAGAGGTTTCGAAGATGTCCCTCACATGAAAAACACAGTTTTTCAGAAAAAGCATGTTTTTTTTTTTTACCGTCACAGACATGACATCTATATAGTATGTATATAAAAACCTGCTCAGATGCAAATAGAATGTTGTGTGAAAATTTCAAAGCAATTGGTGAATTTTCGGAGATTAGCGATTTTGAACAAATGAACATTTACATTTTTATTTACTGTATATAGATAGCATGTGTGTTCGTCTTATATGCAACAGATGGCGCTGTTTCAAGAAATGCATAGTTTTACCTGTAACAGGTGTGGCATCTATACTAATACTTACGAATAAACGATATGGTAAACAACACAGCTCAATTCCAACACAATGTCACACAACATTATTCAATAAAAAATAAAATAAATCGAAATCTATGAAAATAAAATTTATTAATGCAATTGGAAACACTCAAATGGAATTTGTGACATATTTAGTAAAGCGTGCATGTTGCTATTATGTGCAACAGATGGCACTGTTTTTCAAAAACGCATGTTTTTACTTGTCACAGAGGTGGCATCTATATAGTAGGTATATAAAAAGACGTGCATATTCGAATGGAACGTTGTGTCAGAATTTCAAAGCAATCGGTGAAGAACTTTCGGAGATTAGCGATTTTGAACAAACGAACATTTCAATTTTTATTTATATAGATGTTTGTATATAGTGTAATAACACCACAGTATACTTGAAGGAGGAATGTTAGTGTGTCTGGCCTTGAACCAGTGAGGTAGGCAGCAGTCAGCTGATTGTGTGTGTAGCAACCTCTCCTATTGTCTGAACTCACCATACCAGTTTTGTTGCACAGTTATGGTGAACAAAACATGTAGATACTTAAATATAATGTCTGTATTTAGTGAATAAAAGCAAAAACAGTATGGTGGGAGGAGGAATGTTGCGAGTGAGGTGTTGAGGGAGGGAGTGGCAGCGAGTGGCCACTCCTCATTGCTTTTGACTCACAATACCAACTTAAGTCGTTCGTTATGGTGAACAAAACATGCAGAAACTTATATATAACGTGTGTATATAGTGTAATTACAGCAAAACTATTTGTTTATTGTTTTATGAACATCATAATTGAATCACTAATATAATCATACTACTTTTGAGTATAGCAATGATTCACAAATTTTATTATATAAATATATCACTACACTGTTGAATAATATTACTACAAAAAAAAAAAATAAAA